GCAACCGCAACAGCAGCAGCAACAGCAACAGCAACAGCAGCAGCAACAGCAACAGCAACAGCAAGAGCAGGAACAGCAGCCCCGGTGCCGAATCTCGCCGGGGAATTTTTTTCCCCTGCCCCGTTTTTTTTTCCTGATCTGTTCTGTTTTCCGTCCCCTGCATCTATCCTGCCACTTCCCTTCCATGCTGCATGCTATTTGCAGCATTTTGGAGCTGGAACCTTTCATTTTGCGTGTTTGTTATTCTAGCATTTTGGGCATGCTGCATGCTATTTGCAGCATTTTGGCGCTGGAACTTTTTATTTTGCATGCTATTTGCCGCATTTGGGCACAGGAACCTTCTATTTATCATGCTATTTGCCGCATTTGCGCGCAGGAACCTTTCAGTTTGCGTGCTATTTTATTTGTAGAATTTGGGAGCTGGATCCTTCTATGTTGTATTTGTTGTTGTTACGTTTGTTGCTGTTATGTTTGTTGTTGTGCTGTCTGTTGTTGTAATGGTTGTTGTTGTTTCTTTGTTATGTTTGTTGTTGCGAATTTGTTGCTGTGATGTTTGTTGTTGCGATGGTTGTTGTTGTTGTTGTCGTTGTCGTTGTTGTTGTTGTTGTTGTTGTTGTTGTGATGGTTGTTGTGATGGTTGTTGTTCTGTTTGTTGTTGTGATGCTTGTTGTTGTGATCGTTGTTGTTATTGTGTTTATTGTTGTTATGGTTGTTGTTGCTGTTGTTGTTGGATCTGCGCAAAGAAATAGCCACAAATATGTATCTACATGACTACCTGTAGTACATATGTATATATACATACACATGTATGTAGAGTAGTGTATTTACAAGTGTGCAAGCTTTACATAGTGTACCCATTTTTTCCAGCAATTGTATCACCTCCTCTGTAAAGGTGGTGTTCGCACTACTATCTGGTCACAATACGAAATCCGATCTTTTGGGTTGGTGGATTCAATGTGCGGATCATGCACACTGACTGGGGCCCGCGGTTAGGTGTTCATCATGACTATCGCCTATCAACCGCTTGGGAGGGTTCCAAAAGAATCTTCAAACATACTTGGACTTTCATCCCATTTACTAGTAGCTTCGACACCTACAATATCCCCCTCTCTCTGCATCTATGCTAGAAAATATAATGCATACGTATAAATAGATATGGGTGTATAAAGCCAGTAACTAGTTACAACCTCGGTCGGTTCGGACAGAAATTCCTCGAAGAAAGATTGTTTGCTCCCTTGCTCCCTTGGTTGCTTGCTTGCCTGCTTGCTCGCTTGCTGGCTCCCTTGCTTGCTTGCTTGCTGGCTGGCTTGCTTGCTTGCTGGGTTGGTTTGCTAGCTTGCTTGCTTGCTTGCTGGCTGGCTGGCTGGCTTGCTTGCTTGCTTGCTTGCTTGCCCGGCTTGCTTGCTTGCTGGCTGGCTGGCTTGCTTGCTTGCCTGCCTGCCTGCTTGCTTGCTTGCTTGCTGCCTTGCTTCCCTGGCACACCAGTCTGCGAGAACTTAGCCGGGAAAAAAAATCCCCGGGGAGGGGGAAAAAATCCCCGTAAAAATAGGGTACCCAGCAACAGCAGCAGCAACAGCGACTCACAAGACGCAATGCTGCCAAGAGGCGACAGGAGAAGCAGCCACCGTCGGCTCCGTCATTGAGAGACCCATGAAAACTCTGAATAACTTCAACCGACGCACAATATGAAAACATGTTTGGAAAGCATACGCTTTCACTCAAGACACACCGTAAGCTTCGCAATGCTCTCAGAATCTTCCGTGCCAAGACAATTCAATTCCAAGTTGTTCCACTCGGCATAGCCCCCTTTTGAACTCGCGCTTGAACTATGAACTCAGATTGCACTATGTGCACAGATGCTCACAGCATGACATCCTGCCGAGAAGCGAGTGAACCTCGAGCCGGTCAAAACGCTCCAAAGAGAAAAGATAACCGACTATTCTCTCGCTCTTGCAAGAAGTGACTCTGGATGCCTCCAAATTACATGGTAAAGCGCCATTTCTACGGATACACTCGTCTATAATCATTGGTGTTCTTGAGCACTACGTATCCCAATGGCGCGAACGCGGCGGTTCCAGTGGCCGGATTGTGTCGCCTGGTTGGCGAGACGCGGTGTTGAAATTCGTTTGTTGGCAGCCTTGGCTTCTTCCAAAGTGGTCTGCGCCTGCTCGATGGCTTCGTGGGTGTTGGATTTGTTGTCCAACAGGGAGTCCTTCATCTTCTGGCGCAGGACCTGCAGGACCTCCAGGTTGGTCTTGTCAGGATTTTGACGGCCTTGCTGTAGATGTCGCTTTCCGCTACAGAGTGCATCCCCTCCTGGAGGGGGCACAGTACCTGCCAAAAAAATCACCATTTCCGCTGGTTAAATCACTAGTGTTACGGGTTTTTTGTTTCAATTTTTCCTGGAACAATTGCACTAACTCCCATCAAATCGCATTAACTCCCATCTTTGTTGGTAGCACCACAATTTACCTTGGATAAATCACCGTTTTTCAGGGTGGTTTTAAAAAAATCCCAGTGGCCCGTGACAAAAAACGCGCCACCGGCGCCATGCCAAGGTGCAAACCCAGGCCCAGCAAGAATCCCGCGTGAGCATTGCTTGAAACCTGGTGTCAATGCCGGATATGACGACTTGTCTTTCAGGATCATCATCCCATGGATAGTGAGTGGTTTTTTTGGGGCTAGCCACTTTGTCGTAAGATATCGGTGGTGATGGTAATCTTGGGGCTAGTTGAGCCACTTATACATGGGATAATCTACTAGGGACTTAGGTTCACCAGGCTTCTTAAACTTAAACGCCCCAAGATGTGACTCCTCCAACTATAGTGAACTACAATAAGCGACTTATCAGTGGAACTGCACCCCCAAGTAGTGCAAACAAAATGGAGGCTTTGACAGGGGTTAACCATCAAACAGAATGGTTTAATGGGATCCTAATAGGATTCTAATGGGATTCGAATGGGGGCTATTGATAGATTTAACCATGGGATGGTAGCCGGGATATGTTGGGATATGGGGGCCCTAATAAGTATGAGGGCCCCCCCAAAATCCATTGGTTTCTCGCCATTCCTTCATGAACATGGCAATTTTGTCGTATACCGTATACCGCATTTTCAACTGAAATGTTCCTCCATTTTCAATGGCTGAACGCTACCACCCCGCCTGGCCATCGGCAGAGGCCTCAGTTTAAGATTGGGTTTCACTGGCTCGACCCTCAAGGAATCCAGAAAATGAGGGCAAGGTAACTTTTAGTGGGTTTCGACAGGGCCTAGGTATGTTTTCTATTTTCCCATTTTCTGCAATGATGCGTCTATCAGTCGGACTCACCCAGTTTCTTGGCGGGCGAAGCTTGGGTATTTAGATGGGCCGCTTAAGTGATGATTGTAGATGTAATTAAATGGATTCGAAACCATTCAATATACCAGTAAAGGGGACATGAACTACTTACTAACATTTACTAACCACATCTAAGTATGAAATTATCCCAACAAAATGGTTCAATCCGATTCACCCACAATTAGCGAAACAACTCACAGGTTCCAACAGTGGAATGTAAAACCCACAGGGTTCACCACTCAGCAAACCACACAGATCAACCACCCATCATTGTGCATCCTCATCTGGCTTTGCTTCAGGAATTTCCAAAAAAATAAGAACATATTTTCCCTAAAATTTCCCCAAGTAGTTGACTTCCCCTTGGGAAAGTAACAAATCATCATCAACAAATCCAGGTATCCTCTATCCCCATTTTTCCTCGTCAAATCGCCATTTATTCCCATTGAATCACCATAAATCCACTCAACAAATGGAGGTTTCCTGAAACGGTACCCCCAATCATCCATTTCATGGGATTATTTCATGGGATTGTTCATTCTAAACCATCCATGTTTGGGTAAGCCCTCTTAGGACCCCCCTATTTTTCCACTAATTGTAGCTTTGAATCCAACTGTTTGGTGGCTACCGTGGCTACCATCCTCCCCAAGGCCCAGCTACTGGGTTGGAAGAGACGGACCTGGCGGCGGCTTTGATAGCTGTATCTATGACCTACTGACCTACTATTTTTTCAAAATATCATACCAGTTTTTCTATGTTTTGTTATGTCCACTTACCAGCCACTTAAGCAAGTTCATGGCACATCTACGCATGTTAATAGGTTTTGAAATTTTAGAACCTGTAGCCTTGGCTGGGATCTGAAGAAGAACCAAACTTCACGCTTTCCCAAAAAAAAGGTTTCCCTTGCTATGTTTGATTTGCAGGTGGGCAGGTAAGGTATTCACGGTGGTTCATTGGCCGACACACATTTTTTGTTAAGCAAAAACATGAGATGACAATTAAACACCCACCTGGCCTTGAGGGTTATTAGATGCAATAATGGTTGCCTAAAAGTGAAATTCAAACTGTGCCCAACTGGGGTTCGAGTTTGGGGCACGACCAAAACCCGGCTTGAAACAAATGCAGGCCGCGCCCCTCTCCGCTTATCCCATGCATGGTTGGATGAACACCCTGGGTTAATCATTCAAATAATTTTTGTGCGCGTGCCTCTACCAACTAGCCACTCAAGAACCGAAGTGCGTGCCTGTGGTGAGCAATCCAACCACGAGAGACTTCTGTAGAGGTTGCAACCTCCCGCTGAACGGGGCAACCATGCTGGGTTAAAAACGACCAAAAAAGACCTGGCATCTGCCGACCTCATTGACGAACCAGCAATGGCTATTCAAAACTAGGCGGGGGCAAGCTGAAAACAACCCTGATGACGCCATTGCACGAAAATTACGCGCTGGGAGATGGATGCCCCACACCAAGGATGGATGCGCACGGTGGCGATGGCTGTTCTCAGCTGGCACCTGAGGAAATTAAGCTGTTTGGCTTGTCAATCTGGCCGTGCCAGCCGCCGCAAAGAAGGCGTTTCAAAAATTCACGCGGGTGTCCGCAAGCTCCTAATCAGCAGAGGCGGGAGGCTTGGGGCATGTTGAGCAACTATAGGGGCAACTGCGCGTTGGTCAGCGTGTGGGCTGTTCAGTGTCTCTTGGCACGGGGCAAGATCTAAGGCTCAAAAGGTACCCTCTGGTAATTTGACATATCTATTGAAAATGGCCATTTATAGTGAGTTGTCCCATTAAAAATTGTGATTTTCCATAGTTATGTTAGTTTACCAGAAGATATGTTCAGCGTCAATCTTCGCCAAAAAAATGCCGTGCTTTTGGCTGCCCAAGCTTGACCCGCGCATCTTCACGAGTTACTGACTGGAACGGTCACCTCCATGCATCAAAACGCGTGTTCCTTCACAATTGCGCAGCAACAAAGGCCTAAACACATGTCTTGATAGAGTTCATTTTTGTGACCCCAGACTTCTCAGTGAACGCACCTCTCATTGAATGGTTGGCCTGCTCCCTTAAGACTTTGATTGTTTCAGGGCTGGGATACAAAGAGGGAGAACATGAACCAAATCCATTTTAGACATAGCACGCTCCCCTGTCTGAGTGGGGCTGTCGGCAGTTACCAACTTCGAATCCAAGTTGACCAAAAAAAGTGCCAGCTAAAAGTTGTGTTCTAAACCCCATTGACTACAAGGTGGTGCCCCATATAACTAAGTTGGTGAACATAACTCCAATAAGTTAGGTTTATAGCAGATATATATCATATTTTTTTAAAGTACTTATAGTCTACAGTATTCATGGGGGTGGTGTCAACCAACAGTCACATCAATCTGGGGGAACCACCTTGCAAAACAATCTATCCGGCACGAGAAGCACCTTGGATCCAAATTGGGCATTGGGACACCAGTGGCCGCTGCTTTTTATTAACGCACCAACGAAGCCAAAATGGGAGGACAAAAGCAGGACATGCCTAAAGATCTAGAAGCCTCATTCCAGCTGAAAGATAGGATCCACAGTGATATACAACCAATCTTAGGCTGATTCATGTGTGCTTAGAAATCTCAGACGCACCGTAACCAGCTCATTTGTTTATGCTTCCAAAAACAAAACGGGAAAGAAAGAAAAACCGTGAAGGTCCAATGGTGAATACAAGAGATGGTCAGTAGTTTCATCCCAAAACCCATCAGCAACCCGGATCGTCATCCCAGCTAGCAATAAAAGAAGAGCACCAGCAGGATCCAGCAGGGCTTGGGGATGCAATTGAGGTAAAAATAATTGGTGGACACTTGGTGTAACTATGTTAATAACCTAAGTTGGGATGTAATCCCTACAACTCTGGATTGGCTTGTAGGTTGTCTTCTGCCAGTTGTGGTGATTGGAGGCCATGTCACGCAAAGCGGCATTCAGCAATTGAGCCATCAAACATACCACCTGGTTGATGGGTTGTTATAAGGGGTTATACTACCCAATAAATTTGGGGATTGTGATAAGCCATAAACAGAGGGGTGCCTATTGATCAACTAGTAAAGTGGGATGGGATCTGATAGTGGTATTTCCCGTGGCTCAATTGGATCTGCAAGAATCAAGAATCATGGCCAAGCCTGGATACCATGCATCAGGTCAATGTTCAGATTGTTCAGCAGACATGAAGAATGGCAAAGCCAATTCTGCAATCCTTTAAGCTACCAGTCGCCGCAAATTCAGCGGAATTCAAGTCATTGCACCTCGAACAGTGAACAAGTCTTGATTTGTTCATCAGCACTTCCAATCATAAGTCTACTGATATGAAAGGGCTTCAACATACATGGATAAGAAAATTCCTTTCTGAATGAGGACCCACCCATCATAGACGATCGCTCAATTTTTGCGCCTTAAAACTCCAGGTTTCAAAATAAATCGTGAAGGAAGGTACTGCCTAGATGATCACATTGGGTAATGGTTTGGAGTATCACGTTGATAAAGTCGCACATACCGAATGAGCAGTCCAAATGTTACTTCCGAAGCAGTTCGAAAGATTCGGAAGTCCATCTGTTGATGACATCACGGTATTTCTTTGGTGTGTATCACGTCATTCAAACATGCTCTGAAGCTCAACATCTTCTGGTTGGTGGTTTCAACTCCTCTGAAAAATATTAGTCAGTTGGGGTTACTATTCCCAATATATGGAAAAATGTTCCAAACCACCAACCAGTCTTTGTTGGCAACGAAAGACCCTGGTCCTTTCCATGGCCAGCTCCAGTTGGGATGCTTAAGAGTGACCAGCTGTGACTCCAGCGCCGAGTTGTGTCCCATAGGCGCAATCTGTCTTATTTAATGCCTTGTTATATATATATATAATATTTACGCATTATAAATCATAATTATTCTGATTCTTATTATTATGATACTTTGATGTTTCTTCCGCAAGGGGAACGAAACAAAAGACAGCTCTTGGCCACCTTGCCTTGTCTTGAGGTCGAAGGTGCGTTAGGCGGAAGATTGAAGAAATCGCTCGTGTGAATCTGTATCGGAGGTACCACTTGTGAGAGCCCAATCAAATTTGAGCTGTTCCAAAAAGCCCAGAACTTCAGGTGATTTTTTAGGGCCGTAGATTTCTCTGAAAGCCCTTTTTGGGCAGCAGCTCGTGCACTCATCAATCGAGAAAGGTGATGGTTCAGCTGACATATGGCTCGGTTAATGGCAGATCTATCGCAAGAATCTGGAGTTTTTGCTTGGCATGGAATATCTCCAATCGCCAGATCACTACTTGGGATAATCTTGCGAGAGCCCACAAATGATCGCAACGCAGGTGGTTTGTCATTGTTAATCCCATCATCCCAAAGATCATCAATTATGATGCCAATTAGAATTCCAATAGTTAACCCAATGATAACATCACCAAGTATACCCTCTGGTAAACGTTAACAGTTTGCTATTGAACATGGCCATGGAAATAGTTGATTTACCCATTTCAAAATGGTGATTTTCCATCGTTTTTTTGTTAACGTTTACCAGAGAGTAGACCCAGAAACCGTGCTGGGGTGGGGTTGAATCCACATTTTTGAAGATCAGGGGGTAGGATTCATAACATCCCTTCCCAACATTGGATACCCCAGTTATAAGTACGAGATACACTATATGAGACTATATCCCACTAATCCTTGAAATATCATTTACATCCAGTCATATTCCATTATTATCCTACAGGATGGGGCTCAACATAGTTAGAACTTGGTTTGTAAACCATAGTAATAGTAACTACTTCGATATCTCTACCATAACCATAAACCCCATAGTTCTTGGAGTCATGTTTGGGGCACCACCTTATAGCGTGGGACTCTGACCAATTTCATAGAGATACGCATCTAAAATGGCCTATTAGTAGTAGTACTACTACTACCTTTCTGCTAAGGCCATGGCTGGGGGAAAAAAGCCCGAAGTTTCACCATCATTCCAGTGAAGACAGTGAAGTCGTTCTCATTCACCCAATGATGATTTACTGATACCATGGCGAAGCGTAGATACCTGCCAACAAAATCATTCTTTTTAGCCAGTTAGTACATTTTACTGTACATCATTTTACCCATTGATAGCACCATTTACCAGTACCATTTTACCATCACCATTTAGCCATCATTTTTAGCCAGTACATTTTACCCATAGCAAGAAATTCAAGTACTAAATGTCGATGGTAAAATGTAATACCCAACTAACAGTTATACCCAAAAACATTAAGCTTAGCCAGTACCATTTGTATCTGGATTCATTTTCCCATTAAATGTCGTATCTAAAAAAGGTTGACCCAGATACCCAACTCGGCCACCAAATGACCAACTGACCAGACCTGAAGAGCTGCCGCCACCCCGTTGTTGAACTCGGCCCAAACCTTGGATTTTCTGGGGATATCCCAATGGGGGTACCTTCAGTTATCATCCATTCGAAAACGTGATAGTCAGCGGAGTGATAGGCGTGCTGATGGACTGGGCACAGTTGCTCTCCTTTGACTAAGAAGTTTACTTATGGCTACCAATCATGCGACACCCAGTGAGAAGTCTGATAAGTGATAACTCATCAAAATGGCGACTTCATGGGATATACTGTAATTAGTTGGGACAATGGTGACAATATATAATGGATATATAATCAATTTGATGTGTGCCACGGTCAACATGGGATGAATGTGCTATGGTCATCCCATAATGCGAATCTGTATAGTGGGTATAAAAGCCCATAGTAACGGATAGATGACCATCCCCCAACAGGGTATACCGTTCAAGTTTTGACCATGCTACATATTGCTATAGCAAACGAATATCATGGAAAACAAAATATTTGGGATTTACTTGATTGCCGCTAATGGCTGTAAAGTATGGCTTTATAATGAGGAGACGATGAGATAATCATGGGATAATGATATGGAAACATATGAAGCACTATGGACTGATAATGGCAACTGACTACCCTCGGGAATTCAACGATTTGCTATGAAAGCCATGGCCCATTTATATATGATTTACCCCTTAAACATCGTGATTTTCCACTTGCAATCGCAACCCACTGGTATTAAACACCCTACAAAATGCGTAAATCCCGTACATGCTTAGACTTATCTCACCCCGAAAGAAGGCCGGCCTCATATGAAGTTTTAAAGAAAGACTTCACGATAGACATCACATTGCATCATGTTACATGTAGTCCCTAAACTGTCCTTTTATGTCTAGCCTTCGAATTACATCCACGTAGACTAGGAAGGGGCCTTGCTGGAAGCATTCCTGAAGGGTGCTTGGCAGCACCCATTCATGGATTTGATGCGCTACTTGGAGGATGATCCCGTGAATCCCGTTGATTGGGTATCAAAGGGCTTTCACAAAAAGGGGCCGTTGATGGGGTTCATTAGTTCACTCACGATACCTAGTCAACCAGTACAACAATAGTATAATGGGATAGATCGGAGTGGCATATACCACAAATCGGATGGCAGATTCCTCCATTGAGATGTTTCTGATCATGGGGTTTGTCCCCGAAAAGGAATTTTGATGGTGAAAATAATGATAAAGCATTGGATTCTGTTTGTTTTCCCCATAATCAACCAATCCCTTCCGCAACTGGCCACCCCCAATTCGAAACTCATCGCAGGTCAGGCGGGGGTTACAGTACTGCCGCAAGTGCAGAAGCAGAAAATCGTGAATCAAAGCAGGATTCCATGGCATTTAAGCATCAACAAAAAGGGACTTAATGGCATTTAACAATCAACGCTAGGGATCAAACATGGGATTTATATGGATTTTAAAATGATCTGGGGTGACTAGACATGCTGAAACCAACATATTGTAGGACACCAACCTCCATCATATTGGCTCTCCAAACTCCCATGATTTGTATTTTTTTGCTCGCAATATGTGTTTTTAGAACACAACTTTGAGTGTGCAGTTGGGTTATAAATGGGTGGTGTTGCTTTCATGGGCACATCCATGGGGAGTTTATCAAAAGTTGAGAGGGCCCTGCAATTGTGATGAACATCAAGACATAAGACTTGATTCGCTGCAACTGTTCCAAACATATTTAGCGAACTTGCTGAATAATTCCAATGAACTGGCTTGGTGGTCTATATATATGTACTGTATAAATACATGAACACTGTAAAAACATCTATTGGACAATTCCTTCTAATGGCTGGTTTACTGGGGATTCCTATAGTACCTATAGTGAATCCCAGATATTGGGTTGAACTAATCATGAACCAGTCAATATCGATCAATGATATCCCCATCTGTGTCATGGTGAAAAACATCCCTGGTTTCATCAGAAAAATGAGGGTTAAATCCCCATGATGCCACGCGACCTTTTCATCAACCAACATGGATATAGCAGCTACTGTTCATAGTTTATTTTCTTAAAAAAAACCTATCTAAGTTGGTTCATAACTCCAATAACTATGGTTTATGGTACGCAAATAACTATCTGGTTGGTGGTTTCAACCTACCCCTCTGAAAAATATGAGAAAGTCAGTTGGGATGATGACATTCCCAACTGAATGGAAAAATGCCAAATTCATGTTCCAAACCACCAACCAGAATATAATTTCAGCTGGTTGAAGCCTATAGCTATATCCTATAGCCGTACCATAATACCATTTTCATAGTCAAAGGAAGTTTAGGGGGAGAAACTTCCGTGTTACGGACTTTTAGAATGTCAGGGAAAGAGTTAGTCAAAGAAAGAGTTAGCAAAGAAAGAGTTCGTCACGGAAAGAGTTTGTCAAAGAAAGAGTTAGTGAGGGAAAGAGTTAGTCGAAGAAAGAGTTAGTGAGGGAAAGAGTTAGTCAAAGAAAGAGTTAGCAAAGAAACAGTTAGTCAGGGAAAGAGTTAGTCAAAGAAAGAGTTAGTGAGGGAAAGAGTTAGTCAAAGAAAGAGTTAGTCAGGATATATGAGGTAGTCAAAGCAAGAGTTAGCAAAGAAACAAGTTAGTCAAAAAAAGAGTTAGTGAGGGAAAGAGTTAGTCAAAGAAAGAGTTAGCAAAGAAACAGTTAGTCAGGGAAAGAGTTAGTCAAAGAAAGAGTTAGTGAGGGAAAGAGTTAGTCAAAGAAAGAGTTAGTCAGGATATATGAGGTAGTCAAAGAAAGAGTTAGTCAGGATATATGAGGTAGTCAAAGAAAGAGTTCGCAAAGAAAGAGTTAGTCAAAGAAAGAGTCAGTCAAAGAAACAGTTAGTCAGGGAAAGAGTTAGTCAAAGAAAGAGTTAGTGAGGGAAAGAGTTAGTCAAAGAAAGAGTTCGTCAGGGAAAGAGTTAGTCAAAGAAAGGGTTAGCAAAGAAACAGTTAGTCAGGGAAAGAGTTAGTCAAAGAAAGAGTTAGTGAGGGAAAGAGTTAGTCAAAGAAAGAGTTCGTCAGGGAAAGAGTTAGTCAAAGAAAGAGTTAGTGAGGGAAAGAGTTAGTCAAAGAAAGAGTTAGCAAAGAAACAGTTAGTCAGGGAAAGAGTTAGTCAAAGAAAGAGTTAGTCAGGGAAAGAGTTAGTCAAAGAAAGAGGTAGTGAGGGAAAGAGTTAGTCAAAGAAAGAGTTAGCAAAGAAACAGTTAGTCAGGGAAAGAGTTAGTCAAAGAAAGAGTTAGTGAGGGAAAGAGTTAGTCCAAAGAAAGAGTTAGTGAGGGAAAGAGTTAGTTTAGTTAGTCAAAGAAAGAGTTAGTGAGGGAAAGAGTTAGTCACAGAAAGAGTTAGCAAAGAAATTGTTCCCTCACTGTAAATGGGATTGCAAGTGGTGCTGGTGGAGGAGTTGCCGATGGAGTTTTGGAGGAAGTCTCGCACGAAATGCGTTTTTGAGAGATAGCAGATGCACGAAACCCTGTGTTTTTCCATACCCAAAAGCTCTGGTTAGGCTAAATTCTATCTATTAGGTTATATCTTGTTTTCTGACTATTAGTTAGATTTTGTTTTTACCTATTAGGTAAAACAATTGTTTTACCTAATAGTCAGAATGATCAAATAACCTTTTTTTCTTTAGGTTGTTTATATGAATAGCCTTTTTTCTGTTTGTTGTTTTCATGAGTAAGCTACGTTTTGTCCAAATTGTTTCTTTCAAAAACAGACTTTTTTATCAACAACTTCAAAGGCTCCCAGCATTTTGTGAATATAATTGGAAGCAAAAAATCGAAGAATATCAAAGCAGGTTGAAAAATGGTTCAAGATCTTGTGTAAAGCCTTGGGAGTTTCTGGATGCCCGTGGTTTCACTGGTAGCGATGCTTGGCTAGTTCAAATACAAGAGCATCAGCCTAGGAATGGCACCTATGTTGTGGCTATCCTGCACATTTATGGCATGTGTGTTTGATAGACCTGGTTGGAAACTGTATTCGAAATCATGTCATGGGCCTTTGGTGGGCTTATGTTGGGTCACTTGGTGGCTCTGCTGGGCCTATGTTCGGCCTATGTTGAGCAAAAAGATGCCGCCATTTGGGCTTATGTTCAGCCAATTTCAACCCAGACCTAAGAAAAATTAGGTCTGGGTTGAGGAAAACGTCCTTTTTGGGCCATACCCCAGCCATATTGGGCCTATCCTGTGCCAAGTTGGGGGTATGTTGGGCCTATCTTGCAGCAATTGGCACATCCACTGCTTGAGCTACACGTCGCAATTTTACATTGTATAAAATAAAATTTGACATGACGCATTTTTTTGCTTAAAATGCGGCTGTCCAGCAACATGCAAATATATCAGTGGACTATTTTGTTTGGATGGGCAAACCAACAAGGGATGGAAACACAAAGCAGCGTATATATATATATATGTATATATATATATATCTATATATTCATTTATCTGTTGATTTATCTAGATCTATATGTCATGTTTATATCTATATAAAAACATGTGCTGCAACAATGGCAATGGATAGTTTTTCTGGGTGCCAAACCAGCACAGGATGAAAAACAATATCATGAGTTTCAGGTTTTTAAACAACATACTTTGACTTAAAACCACGCAAGACCAAACACCCAAGACGATAAATCAACCATTAAAAAAATAAAAACTGAAAATATAAATTGCAAACTGCAGCGTTTTGGAAATCAATGAAAAATCAAAAGAATACATTTAAATTCATGGGTGGTCATGGGTGTTCATGTGCGTTCATGGGCGCTCACTGGTGTTCATGTTTGTTTGATGTGTTTTTCCCCGTCCATCCATTTATTGACATAAACATAGGTTTTAAGAGGAGGTCCCTGAGTGATTGTTCAACCTTGGACTGGATTGTTTTTGTTTTTTTCGCAATGCATTTATATAAAGGTTGGAGATCCCAAGTGCTTGGCAAACCCTGGATTTGAAAAACGCTTTGCGAAATCACTTTAATGATGGGCAGCAACAATCTTACAAACCAAAACATGTCAAGGTCTGGATGGCCTTT